TAAACCCCAAGTACAGCATTCTTATGCCTTCTATCCTATTCTCCTTCCCCCTCTGGAAAAACTACCTTCTTCAAAGTACTATTCTTATATATTCATTATTTGCACTGTTTTACCGACGGCAAAACATATATTTTGCTATAATATGCCTCAAAATTCCGGTTCGGATGCTCACATATACGATGGAATTACTTGAATTGTAGAAAAAAATGAATTGGGCTTTCTAATCTAAACTGATCCCCCAATACAGTCAAAGTGGGAATAGGGAATGTGGGTATTAGACCAGCGACACGAAGTTAACAATAGTACCAAGAAAGATTTCGATTAGTAGGCACGGTTTTAGTTGCTGTTAGCAAACATGCTCCGCAGGGTATTATATTGCGCTCCAGACTACAATTATATATGTAAGGAAGTAATTCGCTTGCAAACAACTGCCCGATTTCGGGTATTACTTACATTCCATTGCATTCTAATAATTTAGGGAACATAAGGAAAGTGAATCACTAGAAACAGGTTGAAACCAAAAACTAATTTCCTCGAAAGGATTAGATGAAACAAGATCATCAAGGGCTGCTGGTCAGGCCCAGCCACCACAAGGCTAAGCTTGTTTCATTTTTTTCTGCTAATCTGCCACAATATTAATAAAATATTCCGGAGTTGTCGAACCTTATATGGAATCGGAAGTTCCAATTAAACAGTTAGCATTGGAGGATCTGCCCTGTCACAAAAGTAACCGCCCTCTTGACCGTCATTGAATGTTTCATCGTAAACGTAACGCATCGTTTAAAGGGGGGAGTCTAACCCAGCTAAAAGTGACAGGTGTAGAACAAAGGTAGTTTAAGACGGTATTACCAGATTAAAGAGAGTTCCCAAGAAGTCTTAAGCCGTCAGCTCCACAGAGCTAATGCTAACGCTTCTCAAAGAACCGACTGACTGTCACTAAAAGATCGAACGCCTATGATTTTGATCACATCAAAGCCGTTCTAAAGCAGCGTATCTGTGAATAATGCATACCTGCCATTTCCTTCGGCGGAGACACCAGTGTAAATCAAGCGTCGAGTAGCGGGTGATGCCGGACGCATGTCCAGTTGCTCAATACCAGTAGTGTCATTTCGTCGTCTTCGGGCTTCAAATTCCTCCATTTTTTTGGCGTAATCTTCTTCCAGGCGTTTCCTGCGTTCCTCTGCCTCAACGACAATCTTAGCATACGCCTTGTCCTCTTCAGCCCGGTCAGCCAGTCTCTTCTTGAATAGTTTGGACATTGGACCACATGCTTCTTCTGTGAGAAACTTGTCCTGATTCTTCAGAAAAAATTTGAGAGCCACATTGTCCTCTTTATCGACGAGAAGTCGAAGGAAATCCGTAAAGCGGGTGTCCTGTGTTGTTTGACGCACGGCCATCTGGCTGGACGAAATGCTTTATTGATTGTTTAAGCCTTTTGAAGGTGCTACACGTCCACAGGGAATGAAAAACCTCTGCTCTCACGCCAACAACCGATGCCGACGAATATGGAGTCGTGGAAGATTTACACTTTACAAACTAGAAATTAGGACTTGATGTGAGCAAGACGGGTGCAGCAGCAAGCACTCGATGAATGGGATTTGTTTTGTTCGTCGGGTTAAGTGTGGAAGGCAAAGTGCGTGACAAGCTAAAAACCACGGAATATGTTAAATTATTATGACAATAACGACTTTTGGAATTCGAAAACCCTTGTACAGACGCTTTAGAGGATTTGTCTCTCCAGAGCCTGTCCAAGGAGTGATCGTCGACTACAGAATTCTCCCCCAAGTCAGAAGTCAGGTTGGACAGTTTACTTTAAAAGGAGCTCGAAAAAGGCTCAGCAGAAACAAGCTGCTCACGACAAACAGGCCCGTTGCTCTGCGCCTCTGCGCACAGGTTATGGGATCCGGGACCGTCCTACAAGCAATCAGGAAACGGTCGACGGGGGTTGGCGTCAAGCT